ACAACAAGAGGAAAAAATATCAACACCCAATTTTCTATCGAATTTATTTGCAATTTAGCCGACAGATTTCTGGTCCCTCTGAAAAAAACTATCCTCTTTTTTACCTTTTGTTTGCTTTTTTTCTTGAGGGCATATTCAAACCCTTAGCCTTCTATTGGCTAAAACACAAAAAGATTATAGCAAAGAAGTAATATCGCATAAGAAGATCAATTCAATCCCTATTTTAAAAAACAAAACAAAATAGAACTAAACTGAATCAAAACAAAACAAGGGGAAATGATCTAGCGCCAAGGTGTAGGGTTTGGATTATTATTGGGGAAAGTGATTTACTATCAGTTTCAAACCAGCCCTTTCTGTAATATGAAGTGTCATATCGAGTAGTAGACATCCGTAAATAAGTGAAGAATATCTTCTTATTATCCTATAGATCCATTTCTTTGTGGAGCCCTTTTGTGTCTCTTTAAAACGTACCCTGCCGCCCATGCACCCGTTGAACCAAATGCTGAAGTATCATTGCCGAGAAGTGACCATCCCAAATACATTTGGAACACCTGTTCTTCTAGGCGATACTGGATTCGCAGCTTTGCTGTTTGCATATGGAAAAGAAGGGGCTTTAAAGCTTATTCGAGATGTACATCCATTGACATCATGGGAAATAACTGACTACAGGGAAAACATCAAGGTATTTTTTATCCCTCACGGTGCTAAGCTTGAAATATACCAGAGGGTATCACCCTTGCGCTACATATTTAATACTTCTTTAGATTATCTACGTTTCTGTGGCGTAAAAGCATATTTTTACTTTCCCGACAAAAAAATACTTCGTCTGGAATATCTTAATGTGTCCTTTTCAGGCTTCTCCTGAAAAAGTATCCTAACTGTTTAAGGGTGTAGAATGGTCTTCTAGATACTTTTATAGAAGCGTATAGCCATTCAGATCTGAGGAACGATCCTACATTTTCATGTAAATTTACGAGAATTTGAACAAACAGAAAACTCTACACGACAATTCAAATATGCAGGACTTTCGAGCTAATCGTGCATAGGCAAAATGATGAACACTTGAAAAGTTTAAAGAAGTATTCACCACTTCCCATTTGCATGTTATACAAGAAAGGATACTGAGAGTAATGGTGTTTGTCGAAACATTTTATACTAGACTGTGATATAGTATCACCAATGTATAGATTCTTCATACTGGTGGCCTCCTAATTTCAACTTGTTGAATTTTTAACTAAATTGTAAATTTATCTATGTTGTTGAGCGCATCTATATAATTCAGTTCTAATTTTGGCAGTTAACTTCAAGTATTTCAAAATTTCCTTACGGTAATCAATTAAGGTCATTTCAACCAAGCTAGTGTTGCTTTATTTTAACCAGAAACGTGGAATGTTCGACAAGAATCTTCTACCATACTATCCTTTCCGAGATGATGGTTTGGTGATCTTAAAAGTAATCGAAGATCTAGTGAGAAGTTACATTGACTTGTAAGTGAAACTTTAGATATACATTCGACTCGATATCTGTATAATCTGTTTATTCTGACTTGTATGATCTGGTTTGACAAAAATGAAAACAATAACAGTTGAATAAAGGAAACTAAACGAACAAAACAATGCGAAATGAAATACTACCCACGAAATTTGCAAGTCTGAAGGAAAACTTGATCCACCAAACGCAAAACTCATGAGCACATGGTCTCGAGCATAATACGCATATCTAACCCAGTACCGCGCGGGCAGAGCAAAACTAACTGAGATGTTTTGCAATCAACAGAAATTGTATGCTGCAATGTTCTAAATCCATGCTTTAAGGAGCATTGGGAGAATTTTCTTGTGAATAGGAAAACGAATGAAGGAGAAAAATGGGTAACCGTTCTGATAATGACGGCATACAATGGTTTCAATTTTTTTTTCTTTTGTGCCGATCGATCAAAGCTTTGTTTGACTTAGACGACACTTGGGAATAAAAGTTAAAAAAACTGGGAAGCACCAAACTGGTAGTACAAAAGCAAGAAGGAACAAAAACTGATGCCTGAGATGGAGGAGATTAAAAAGGATTCCAAATGAAGATTTTGTAAATTGATTGGTTCAACGTTTTTTCGTTGCACACCTCACGACGCAGCACAGTTAAGTTAACAATCTAGACTAGTGGCGATCAAAGCAGGGAATGAAAATCAAATTCAAATTTTGTGACTTTTTTCGTTTAGGTATTACAGAAGTGATCAAAACGTGAAGGAAGATGTGGAACTACAGGCGTACCTGAATGAGGTGTCACTGGATGGAACTGGACCGAATGGAGGAATTGGTCAGGTATATTAAAATGTGGGTTATGGAAAACCTCAGGTGTACCAAAACCATTGTTAATCATACCCATCTGATGATGTATTGATGTCTTTATTGAAAACTTGTGCAGCATGATGCATGTACCCACAAGGTTCCTTGTAGATTGTCACTTGGGGTTGGGTCGGTACAGATCAGTACAGGCAATGAGTTCGAAACAAAACCGAGGTGTAACAACAAACACAGGTTGTACGCTTGCTTGAGAAGAACGACCTAACGTCGTCGTAGGATCCAAACTGACTGATCGCGAGTGACTTACGCTTCTTGAGTAAGCCACGTCACAAAGTACACATCACAAAATTGATCAATCAGTTTTAAAAGACAAGAGTTGTAAACCGCCTCAACTTACAAAGAGTTTCTTATTTGATGCTGATGATGACTTTCGCCTTAAGACCAAACCGTTATCCACAACTATAGATTAACGTCATTAACGTCAAGATCTGAACAAAAGATTTCTACATGAACTGTAAATCCACAAGGTTTCATATAGTTTTTTTAGATCACTGAAGAAATTTTTGGTCGAAGAAATACCATTGAGTGACAAAAAAGTGCTTGTTTGTCTGTTAGTCTTTATCTTTGATGTCTTCAACAAATAAGCCCATCAGAACGATCCATCCTTACTTATGAATCGAAAGTCGGGAATTTATCCCATTTGAGTCTTGTGGCCAATTCAACCCTCCATGGCAAAATTGGCCTATAGTATAAGACCACGGGATCACAATTTTTTGTCTGTAATGCTACCTGAAATGTACGCCCTTTGCACATTCTATCATGTTGTAAGTTACCGCTAAGGCTGATGACATTTCGTTCTCTTCCTCGCAGATAAAAGGTTTACCACCAAGTGTTGATTCCAAAAGAGAGCTCTGTGAAATTCTAAGTCGTTTTATTTCCCACTTGACTATCTATCACGCGTCGGTCAATTACGTTACAACGGATTACCCAGAATACATCCCCAACCAACCAACTAAACTTTATAACGACTCCAGAGTGGAAGATGGACAATTCTCCTTTCTGCGACTGCCAAACAGAGCTGCAAGCGCAGTGAGTAAAAGTTTTGTTGACTTTAGTTCCTCTGTTTAGTTTATGGTTAGGAGTAAGATTAACATGACTAGGTCTACCATTTTTTCATGAAAATGAGCTTTAATCGGTCATATCATTGGAAAGCTCCCACCACTCATCATCTCGCCGTACGTCTCTATATACGATAAGATGGAGTTTACCCTGAATCATATTATTATTTCACCTCTTCGTCTGTTTATCAAAATTGCGATTCCTCAAGGAATAAACGATGTCAAATCATGATAGTGTCTTGCTTTTGCATCTGTCACAATCACCAAAAAAACTTGATAGAAACTGAAACTAAGAAGACTCTAGACGAAGAAGACATTGTAAAAAAAATTGTTTTCACATCGTTACTAAACACTTTGGAGCTGCAAGTACAACAGCATTTCTTCCTTAACAAGGGTAGTAGTCAATTATAAAAGAGGGAATTTTTAAGTTGGGTAAAATTTAGCTTTAACTCTTTTAAACATCCTCAATTCATCAAGAAATATTTGGACCTCGATAAATTTATCCTTCACGAATATCTCCGTCACTTGTCGAGGAAGAAGTTGTGGTTTATTTCCATTTACACAGCTCAAAAAAAACTTCCCTGCCTATGAAAGCTTGGCGGAGAACTCGCTTGTGTAAACACGACTGCAGCTATGCGTTTTGGACCCTGTTCGCTTGGTACTAATTGGTTTCTTTTTGCAGATCCAGTCAACTGCGTTCAATAGTCTGGGAAGTTTCCGTTTCGATTCTTTGTTTGACTACGGCAACGAGCTTGACGACACTAAGGCTGCGAACCTGGTCAATGCATACTACTGTCGACTAATGGACAAGGTTCAGCCTTATTTGCAAGCAAGAAACCGTCTGCGGGAGAAGAATGGCTACCTCGCATATCCGTATTTTATCCCAAAATGGCTGCCCAATGGCATTCAGACTTAATCGATTGTACTTGTAGGACAGCGTAACTCTTGTTAGATTTGTGTATGTGTACGCGGGTTGTTATTGGCGTAGGGTATGTAATTATTATATCTATGTGTTATTTTGGCGTTTCCGGCTTAGAATCATACTTTGCTGAAGGGTACTTAAACTTTGTCAACCATAGTTGAAGGAAAAATTTGCTTTTGCTAGTATAGTGTGATTTTTGACGGTATGGTTACAAAAATTTTTTCGCCTTAAAACTAACTTGGGAAGGGTTGAAAAAGGTAGAATAAGGTGCGGCGCTACCTCGAGGTTGTGTCTGTAAGACTGTATTGAACTAGGTAAGTGAGGATATAAAAAAGGTTCAGATAACACACTGATTTTAACGGGAAACTACTGTTATGCCTTGGAAGGCAGATTAAACATTCCTCAGCTTGATAACAATGACTCTTTGCTTGTGTAATGTTGAAAATTTGTCCTTTGAGAGAAAGCGCACCTTAAAAATTTCTCGTTGGTTTATTTTCCCCTTTTATTCCGAACGGCTGCAACATGTGCGTGACTGGCGCATAACTGGTGCGTGACTGGAGCCATTTCACATCAATCGCTGGCACATCAACTTTGTTTCAGTTCTTCTCAAAAGTCAGATCACATTCCATTTCTTTTATTTTGGGCAATGACATAGTATTTCTACCGAGTAAGGAGCGGGAAAGAGTTGCACAAATGACTCGTTCCAGATAAACTGTCTTCAAACGTTCCTAAATTTAACAAACAATTTGAATCATTGTTTCCACTGTTCAAGAATTTCAACGACTGTCTAGTTGAACATCAGTAATCCATGATTGGCTCTCACGAATGAAATGATTATGACCTGGACGTAATTTCGTTACTTTACATGTTGGTGTCTGAAATGCTTGGAAAAGATTGTTAACACCAGCAGCGGTGATCTGATTATAACCCAGATCAAGTTTGGTTAGTTTACATGTTGGTGTTTGTAATACTTGACATAGACTGACAACACCGGCATCGGTGATCCGATTATGACTTAATTGTAGTGTGGTGAGTTTACACGTTGGTGTCTGCAATGCTTGACATAGACTGACAATACCAGCATCGGTGATCTGATTATGACACAGGTCAAGTGTGGTGACTTTACATGTTGGTGTCTGTAATGCTTGACATAGACTGACAACACCAACATCGGTGATCTGATTCTGACACAGGTCAAGTGTGGTGACTTTACATGTCGGTGTCTGTAATGCTTGACATAGACTGGCAACACCGGCATCGGTGATCTGATTAAGACCGAGATTCAGTGTGGTGACTTTGCATGTTGGTGTCTGTAGTGGTTGACATATACTGGCAACACCGACATCGGTGATCTGATTACGAAACAGATTCAGTGTGGCGACTTTACATGTTGGTGTCTTCAATGCTTGACATAGACTGACAACATCGGCATCGGTGATCAGCGCTTCTACCAGACCCAGTTCATTTAATTTAGATACTAGCAACGATTCCCCAAGTAGATGAACACATTTTTCCTGCAATACACAGTCATACAGGTACAGTTCGGTAACAGGGCTGTGCTTTTTCTCCAACGCCTTGTAGATTACTCTTAACCCAGTCTCTGAAAGATGACATTTCCAGAGCGTCAATGTTTTAGCCAGCGCCACAGATGACTGTTGAAGGGGTCCTTGTTTCTCCCCAGTGATTTTATCTGCATTCAATGTCCTAATGACATCTAACAAAAACGCTACAGCAGTGCAATCCGCACCGGCCAACTTTTCAAATTCAATAACTCCATCACGATCACAAAATTGATGGAAACGTTCCTTTACAATTCTTTGGGCGAAATTCTTCTCTTGGTACTCCATGATGCACTGCAGTTTTAGCAGTTTTGGCAGTTTTGGCAGTACTCCAACCCTAATGCTGTACATCCAATCGAGTCTTTCAAGTAACGCTCTCATAAAGAATTCGTCCTTTTGCTTTGATAAAATACCAGACATAAACTGAAATATCATTTCTGACACATTGTCTCTGTGTGAGGGGATCTGTTTTCTCTTCACAAACCAACGAGCTGCCAAATACTCTTGGAGAGTGAAATGCGTGAAACAAAAATATTTCGTCGTTTCAGTGTAAGATTTTCTGAAAGGAGGACCGCAGTGAAGAAGACCGTTCGCTCTTAGGCTTTTAACTTCTTCTAAAGTAAACCTTTTCATATCTTTTAAAGCGAAAATAAACTTCCTCTCCTGAAGCAAATGAGCCGCAAACTCTGACATTTTGTCCAGAGTATCTTCGGAAGAGACTGCGGACTCCTTATCATGTTTTCCTAGAAACATGTTCACAACCTCAAAATAGATTTCACTTGAGTTGACCGGGAGGACGTCAGTGTTTACTGGTTCATTTAGGAGGTATTCAAAATAAGAGCACATCAAAAAACAGACAACTGGAATGTGGGCGAAGCTGACAAGATTGTCATTCTTTGTAATGTGATCCATTACAGCATTCTTCATGACTTCCTTTTCGTTGAAATACTTCTCTACGTATTTCTTCACCTGTTCTTCGGTAAATCCTGTAATTTCAACGTACCGATCAAAGCCAATTCTACTTGTCATTTCATCAGATTCATCGGGCCTTGAAGTTATCATGACAACGGAATCTCTCAAGAGTTTTCCTTTGATCAGCTTGGCACACAGGGCTGCTACTGGCATTTCCTCATGAGCGCTATTCGGGTAACGGTCATCCCAATCACTCTCGATGAAATTTCTCTTCGAATACTCATCATAACCGTCAATGAGGATCAAAACTTCTTCTGAATGATCAAGAATGTACTCAAATACAGAGTCTTCGATATTTGAGTGTTCATCCAGGACTGAAGATCTGTTTAAGATATCCCTCAAAGTAACACGGTCATCTCCAAGTGAATTCAACTGGCGGAAAGTCAGCAAATATGCGAACTTCAAATCCGGCAGCTGCAAGTTTGCTTGTGTTTCAAACAACATGTTGTTGGCCCAATCTCGAATAAACTTTTGGAAAAACAGCGTTTTACCAATCCCTGCCTTCCCAGTAACTAAGACAGACCTTGGTATTTTTACCACGTTACGATCGGTATCACAAATGAAAATTTCTTGATTATGTTTAACGGGCTCTCCACTCACTCGACCGTACTGGCGTAAGCGTTCTTTCCTTTTCATATCTTGGTCTTCAATTGGCTTTCTTCCGTGTTGTATGAGAAGACTTGTGTATATGTCATCTGTTCTGGCCTTCTTCATGGTGGGGGAAGGTAAGGTATGAAACTCAGTTCGGCTTTTTACTGATGCTTTCAGTGCGTTTGTGTATGCCGCTACAGCTGAAAATAAGACCAGATCAGAAGCATTCAATTCTTTCGTCAAGTTTAATTTTTGACCGAATGTAATTTCAAGTTATTTTTTTACTCAAGTGTGAAAGTTCTGCAAATCTCACGCTTGCCTGGAGTTAATGTTCATTATTTTTTGTCGATGGTTTTTTAATTCTTTTTTTCTTGAATAGCGTATTTTTCCGTCTGATTTCTCAATTTTTTTTACGCAAAGTGATGCGGAAAGAATTGCAAAGGTTAAACTTTGAAAAAGTAACTTAATGTATATCCACTTATTTCGAAAGAAGCGTAATGTATTTCATCATTCTCATTGTTGCATGGCTATCTCGAAATTAATTACAGATTATCTCGTTGAAAGTTAATATCAATCCCAAAAGTTTTCCCTGAGATAAGCAAAATAGAAACTCTAAAAATACTTTTCGGCAACTATTTGGCTTACATGTCCTATTTTACTTTCCAAGGACTGAATATTAATGTCTTATCTTCATAGAAAACTGACTAAGTTTCGACTTTGCACCATTTTAATGAGAGGCTCTGGATGCACATAATGGTATCTTCCCCCCCCCCCTCCCCCCTAACAGTAATGATCCCAAGCCACCTGCCTGTCTTCAATACATTTACACTGTGCGGCTGTTAGATAAATGTAAGCTATAAGAAAAGAGTAGAAAGGCATGCGAACTGCCCTGGGTAAACGCAACCGACCCATGTGATGTCTTTTTATGGAGAAAAAGTTGCCCCAAGTTTCACAACTTTGTCAACTTTGATATGAATATTAAATTCAAACTTGGCTCTGAGGCTTGGGGGAATAAAACGAAAGAAATCACATCGAGGTTGAAGGTGAATAATTAATTTCTTTTCTTTTATTACCCCTAGCCTTGGAGCCATGTTAGAATTTTTAATATATCGAAAATGGCTTATTATTTACCTCCAACTCCTGTTTTCTTTTCTGGATTTTCTATGGATTCTTTCCAATCATCCAGCTTGCGAGACAACTTTTCTTCTATTTCATCTAATCTTTCCTTGACGCTGACTTCATCCATCACCCACTGTTTAAGAAGCTCTCTGTAGTGTTCTTCGAAATCAGGGTCTATGCATTCCTTTTTCAAATCATCAATGGCACTTTGGTAACTAGCTCCTCCCAGTCTCACCAACGCGCCTTGGATGTCCTGCCAGTATTGATTGAATGTTGGATCATCAACTGAGGCCTGGCTGACATGACCATAAACTGTGTTTCTGTAGCACTTAATGCGAACGACATCTGCCTCAAGGGTTGTGTCTGTTGCAGGAGGAAGTGTATCCCAGCCGGTAGCTGGACGAACAAGACCGCATATATTCCTCAGCAAAACCATCAGTAGAGTGATATCGAAATTCTTTGATGAAACTGCAGATTTGATGGCAGGATATAGTTTTCCCCATTGAGAAGGATTAAGAATTCTTTTCTTTCGAAGTGATTGTAAAACTGCATGAACTGGAGGACTTGACAAAACTGAGTTCAGGTCTCCTGTTGGTCGGCTCTTATCAAAGGCGTCTCTTAAGGCATCTGAGCCAGCATCCACCAGAAGCCTGCATAACCGGGCGTAATTAGTTGTCTCTTTTGTTGAATGGTATGACGGTGTTGCTATGGAGGCCATGAAGAAATCTTCCTGAATCATGATCAGAATGAAATGAATTACCTTTCCTGGATGGTATACAAGAGTGTTACTAAACTGCGGATTAACTTAATACGTACGAGGTGCGTCAGTGACTAACGTCAACCGAACGAATCAACGAATCCGTCAGCCTAATACGCACGAGGTACGTCTGTGTAACGCCAACCTGGAACGAATCCACGGGAAGCAAAACACTGCATACTTCGCTCTGGACGTCCCGATCAACCGGAAATACGGACGATGAAGTTACTTTACGCTCGTGTTCCTCACTCGAGAGTCATTTACAGTTCTAATACAGTGAAATGGAATAAAAGGCCGCCAATCCCAGCCTAAAGGTTTGCTGTGAGCCTTCGGATGAGGCGTTGTTCGGATATTGTAGTACTCAAACCGTTAGAGCTTTCAAATTATAATTGAAATTACTGACGCTCGGGATATATGTCTGGTGATTGCTCCTTACGACATAACATACCCTTGTACGGTGAGTGTCACCACAAGGAAGTCAGTTGTTACCAGGTTTAATATAGTCTTTTTTATACCGGAAAACGATTATTCAAATAGTTTTAGGATCTTTCTTGTTTTAATTTTAATATTCGTTGCTTCTCTTTTACGAAAAGGTTTCGCAGCTTCCGGATGATCTGCAGTTTAGTAACACTCGACATATAAGTGGATCACGTTCTATATTTGAGCCTCTCTATGGGTATTTCCGAAGAAATCGAAGACGCGAAGATCACCGTGGAAAAAACGAAGATCTCAAGATTGAAGCGAAGATCTGAAAATTGACCAAAATTTGCGTGATCAAATCGAACACTTAGATACAAAACTGTCAATACTCGTAAACACTACAGAAAATATCTGTTATTTCTGAATTTTGGCATATGACCACATTTCACAGAAACCACATAATGCCATTACAAGGCTGAAAACAACAAAAATAGTCCACTGATAATGTAATCATTAATGACATTAATGACGTCATTGAAAAAACGAAGATCTTCCTAAAAAAAACGAAGATTTGCAAAAAAATCGCGAAGAAAACGAAGACCGTGGGTACCCATAGAGAGGCTCATATTTCGAAATGGTGTCAGATTAATAGCATTCTTCCACTTTTGAATAAGTTACATCGAGTATAGTCTCAGTAAGTTAAAAATGAACCATTTGAATAACACAACCCGAAGGAGAATTGACAGATCAGTAATCAATGAGGGTACCAAAGTAAAAGTGGATCCATGTTACGACATCGAGATTTCCCCTCTATCAATAACAGCCGAGAAATTTTCATGAAAAAGCACGTGAAATCTTTATCTGCGTGAAAAAAAAAATTACCAGCTGTTTTCATCAGGAACTAATGTCAACTGTCAACTGATCAACCAAAGACAAATTTTACAGTTGCTGCAGTCTTTCAAAGATATGAACATTAAACGTGTTGTTTTGCTTCGCATCGCTGCCTATCGTATGACATTGCCTTAAGTCGCGTTCCCACTGAATGAGTTGCCAGTAATCGGATCGTTCTGCCTTTTTTTTTTAATTTTTTGAAAATTTTTTTTAAAAACTAAACTAGTGAGCAGCATTCTGCCAACAGTAGTTGTAAAACTTCTCTATTCTCCGACGCGTTTCGTTTAATTGTCGTAGGCTTCTTCGGGCAGTTTTACAAGTTTACGAGGGCCAGTGACCATATCGGCTTGGCCGGATCTACGAACAGGAACAGCCGAAGTTCTAAAAAATTTTTAAACTTCTTTTCGAAAAGGCGAGAAAAATATTTGGGGCCACGGTTTTAACCAAAACCGTACAGTAAAGATACCTATGGATTTCTCGGTTGTCTGTTCATGAGAATTGGATGGCATGTCAAGGCAACATTCCCAGAGCTATAGTGGTCTTACATGACGTATCAGCTATTCGGTGTACGTACTTAACTTATATGAAGACTTATCAGGTGATCGCTTTTGTGAATAATAAGATTTCAAATAAACGAACAGGTCAGGTCACATTTCGATATTCTACCACAAAGCTGTGGCATATCTATTTAAAATATATTTCAATTCAGCCAGATTTGATGGTCGAATTTCCCTGCTGCTCTGAGTTTACTTAGCATCAAAGCTTCGACACTCTATTGAATATTTTCGGTATATTAAACCAAATAATTGCCGAAATTATCTTGTTGCGTATTTGAGCCAAGTGGAGGCCAACACGAGACAAGCGAGTGGAGGTCATGAACACAGAGCCATACACTGCATGCTCCTCATGCGCGTGACTCGACCATCGCGCGCAGAGCTTTGAGACTTCCATGATCGAAAACAACTAGATACATCAAAATTACCAAGATTGGGCTAAAAGAACTATGAGCACGTTTTTATTTTTTCATTTTTCGATCTCCGGTGTTATGAAATCTTAAGATTCTAGTAGTTATTTTTTTTAGTACTAGTAGTCGAGCCTATTAAACAAATACAGTGATGATCGAACAGATCACATGGAGATTGCCAATTGCTATCAAACAACTTGCACAAATTGTTCCTTTATGGAAAATATCTAACAAAGCCTCTGGAATCGAAAGCAAATAGGACTCTGCAAAATCAAACCATTATTCAAAAAAATGCAATTCTTACCTCGATGGCGCACGGCCAGACCACTCGATAAAAGAGCTCTTTCGACCAAAGTTTTGACGCGGCTACACAATGTAATTCGCTTTTAGTCTGTCTTGGGACAGCTGGCAGTGACTACTTTCCTCAGGAACCCATTTAACCATACAACTTAGCCCTTTGGGTTTCTTACTTCGATTTGTGGTGACACAGATCAACTTATGTGAGCATATGTACAAGACAAATATCTTTCAGAGAAGGGACTTTCGCTTTTGAAATCCTGACCTTTCGACTTCGTTTACATTTCTGTCATTTATGCTTAATGACTCGACAGATGAAAAAAAAAAAATTAAGAGATAAATAAACGAAACAAAACACGTAAACCATAAATAGACAGAACGATTTGTTTCAATTTCAAGATTCAATTTTCAAGAGTGAGGCGCTGCTAAACAGGCCGAACACAAAATCTTTTAGAGGTGGCTCAGTGACTTTGAAGATTAAACTCAAGCTTCCTTAAATTTCGGTCATTTATGCCATACGACTCAGCAGGTCTAGAAAAAGAAGAGAAAAATTGCCAAAATCGATTGTTCCGAGATCACCCTCTCAAGAGCAAGGTGTTACTCACTACATAGTTCCACACCGCATCCAAAATTATCGGAAAGAGTATCGAATTTTGGAAAATGTATTTATGGACCCGATAAAACTTTTCAGAGCTTACGAGGTAAGCCCTTTCACGCCCAAGATCTGAAAATAAATTATCTTGAAAATTGTATGTATATCTCTGTTGGCTTTCATGAATATATGAGAAAGCTTTCTTCAGTAGTCTATCAGAATTGCACGGAGTTAATTATTATAAAATGCTTAAATGATGCACTTGAAATTTATATTGGATAGTTATGTAGCTGTTTATGATACCTGATGAAATTTCCAATAAAAAATTGACAACATCGGTAACAAGGAGGAGGGCTTAAAAGTTTGCGATTGAAGGTTTTATGAGTGACCTTGCAAAAGACGAAATTCAAGAATTTAAGAATAGAAATGCTTTAAAATACGTAAGGTTTATCAACTGTGTTCATCTTCTTCATGACTGTGATGAGTTTGACATGTCATGACGTTATTCTTTTGCCGAACTACTATCGTTGTTATCATCAAAATTATTTTCAGGAAGAGCTCAGCACAACTGTGTTCTTTTCCTTATTGATTGCTGAGGGGTAAGTGAACGACATTTTAAGTTTTCGTAAGATTTAAGATAATTGAGTCCAGTGTAAAATGAAAAAAGAGATGCCCAAGAAAGGATCTTTATTTCCTAAAGGTTACACGAGAAAGCTCTACATGAAACTAACAGATAGGACCACATCGATCATTTAAGATTCCCATCCGAGTGGATGAGCTGCCCCCACTAACGCTCAACACGACACAACAACCACAATTTTTTATGCTATTATTTTCCTCAACTGACCATAACACACTTAAAGGGTAGTAATGCAACTCTGCGCATTCTTGTCCTCAGAGCCCGCAATCTTCAACCCCAGCGCCGGAAATTGATCGACCCGCGCGTTATATTTGGGTACATGTAATGCATCTATAACTTGAACTCGCATATAATTCATTACATGCGGCCCTTGTAAAGATTGATCTATGCGCTTGCAAAAAAGAATGTGGGCTTTGGAGACAAGAATGGACCCCAAAAATACGATGTGGATCGATTCTAAACATGCATTCATATTGACAGTTAACAAGAGTCTCAGGTTTGAATACCATTTGGCATCCACCTTGGAATTAAATACGGATAGGTTAGGTAGCCATATTTCTCTCGCCTCTGATTGATTAGTTGCATTTTCGGTTGAAGAACTCTCATCAAAAAGCAATAGTAGTAGTTAACGAGCTTGGCCGCCTTAGGGTCCTCAAGTTCATTGCCGTAGTCAAACAAGGAATCGAAGCGGAATGTTGCCAGGGAATTAACAAAGCTGGCTTCGATCTGTAAATTAAAACGCAAAAAAAAGGAGGTCATGCAACGTCATATCAATACTTGGAACTACGCTAACACAATTGTTGTCATAGTAAAAAAAAAAAAAGTGAACGAAGAACTAATTTAGTTAAGGATAATTGTTCCCAAAATACTCCCAATATCAACACTTGACAAACTAATCAAGTCCTGAACAGTGCAGAGAACGGAGGGGAGGAACGGCTTCGTTGAAGTTCCCGACTATTGGCATTTACTGGATTTTCAATTTTGGCAAAGACATGTCCTTTTTCGAACTTGAAATTAGAACAAGGACTCTGATTATTGAATAACGACCCTCTTTAATACGACGAAATTTTTGTTACGACGAATTCAATCAATGCTGTTCATTCCTTAGTTAAAAATTGTAGAGCAAGCCGTAAACAAATTTCCTATGTTGTCGTCGTCATCGTCATTGCGTCACAGATCTCCACAACATTTTGTCTGCTGTGGCATACCCCAGATTATAGTCAATTCAATTCCTGTTCCGATTCCAACTGACATCTGAAGATACTGCAAGGATCCAGAAACAAATCACGTTTTTTAAACTGACATTATTATTCAACCACGACGAAATTTCCCTATGATTCATTTCTCTCACATCCTCCCTCCCAATCCTTTGTAAAGCTTGAGCTAAAACTTACTGCCGAGGTAGCCCTGTTTGGCAAGCGGAAAACAGAAAATTCTCCATCAGCGACTCTGCTATCGTTATACAGTTTTGTTGGCAGATTGGGAATGAACGAAGCGTAGTCTGACATCTGGTAGTTGACAGCCGCGTGTGCAATCGTCAAGTGTGAGATGATGCGACTCACGATCTCGCAGAGCGCTTGTTTGGATCCAATAGTAGATGGTAAACCTTGAATCTGATGAATGAAACAAGTGCTGGTCATGAATAGCTGTGTTTCCAAAATTCAACAAACTTATTCAGCAATGCACAGTTAAGTCAGCATTGGAACGGCAACGCAGAATTAATGGAAGAATTAATGGAAGCCCAGGTGCAGCTATTGTTGCTTAATGCGCACGTTATTTCAGTAACACTCCGATAGTAAAGCGTGTGAATGTTTACAGCGGAGCTCGCAACGTGCACAGCGTAACTCCATATCTATAATATTCATGTTTACCCGTCCAATTCCTCCATTGGGTCCAGTTCCATCTAGTGATACTTCATTGATGTAAGCCTGAAGTTCCTCATCTTCGGCCACGTCGTCGTCGTCTTTGTAATACCTAAAGAAGTTGCATAGTATTTCATTACCTCAATCATCCACCAAAAAAAAGAATTGAGCAACGAGTTCCTCTATAGTCCTAATGATGCAGTTACAGAGAACTAATTGGCTAGTTAGGCCATGTTTCCCGTCTATAAGTAATAATCACCCCGCAAATTACTAAGATTAGCAAAAAGCGAAAGTTTCAGTCACGAAAGTAAACTTGAATTAAAAGTTTTGAGTGCAATGGTTGAATAAAGGTGAAAAAAACAGATTCTGTTTGAATCATTATTTTATATAATGTTTTAGCATAAATTTTATGATTTCACTCACAAGTCTACGTAACGTTCCACCATCCGTTCGATGACTGTTAGGATTCTCATACCATCATCACGATAAGGAAAGTAAGGCAGGAGGTTTCGGTTTGCAAGTCCTCGTTTCTTGTAAATGATGAGAATAGACAAAGTTCATAAGCCATTTCAGGCAAGGAAGACTCAAAAGTGCGTATCGATATACATGAGACAGACAGACCAAAAGGGCGGCAGTTGGTCAGACAAATAGTCAGATGAATAGATAGACAAATATTCAGACAAATAAGCAAACAGACTGAGAGATAGACAGACAGACAGGCAGAGACAGTCAGACAAGTAGGAACACAGACAAGGAGATAAGCAGACAGACAGATAGACAGCCAGACATACAGACCGACGGACAGAGAGAAAAGGAGAATTTTGTAATTTTTCGAAATGAGAATAAGTGTAAGTAGTGGGAACCTTTACCTTAATGTTCCTTCTGAAGTCTGTGACTTCCCAAGTCGAAAATTCATGGGCATCACGGAGAAGTCTATTAGCCCCGTCGTTTCCGAAAGCAAAGAGAAGATCCATGAATCTAAACTCGTCAACCAACGATGGGGTTCCGAACGTATTAGGGACAATCACTTCTCGACAGTGATACTTAAGCATTTGGTTCAGCGGATGGGCGGGTGGTAGGGTCCTTTTTAAGGAGATACAGAATGGCTCTATAAAAAAATGAACCTGAAAATCAAAATGCAGAACAAAAAAGTTAATACTTGCTTTTGAAGTCTTTCTTCCTGCTTATAAAAGCATATGAACCTCTGCATTGAAATATCTCGCTTCTCGATTTTATTCTTGCTTCTCGCACATTTGATTTACAGTCCCGGTATCCTTAGTCTCAGTATCTGGTTCCCGCTCATTTCTATCGCCGCCAAATAGCAAAGAAAGCGGAATCATAAGAAAACGTAATGAGTTACAGATGGAGATTACGATTTCTTAGTAATTCTATCAAAAGATAAGAGAAACTTACCTCTGAGCAAAGGATAATTTCCTACCTTAGCAAGGTGTTCGACGATTTGTGAATATCCCAGATCAGTGATTTGAACATTCAGTTTTGCAAGCATCCAGTTGTCCCCACTCTTAGGAGTGTAAACTGCTGAGTCTGACGGAGAGAATGTTTTACAGAGTGTATAATAATAATAATAATAATAATAATAATAATAATAATAATAACAATAACAATAATGATGATAATATTTATTGCTTTTATTGCACATTTTAACATTAAAAATTATGTTCAAATGCGTACAACACTCGAATAAGACTAAAACTCGTCAAAATTCACCAATCACAGAATATATCAGTGTGTCAATGATTGGTAATGATAATAGAACTAAGTGGAGTCCAATTCGCTCTGTAATCATACTAGTGACTGACAAAATTAGACAACCGCGAAGCGGGAGAATGATTACAAACAGAATCGACAATTTTATCCGTTAATCACGACAAATTTAGTAAAAGAAAATAAATCATCGATAGGTTTAGGTAATCAATCAAATATTCCTTGTCAAAATTTAG